GCCTTGAGAGGCTGTACACTACCCTGAGAGGCTGTACACTACCTTGAGAGACTGTACACTACCCTGATAGACTGTACACTGCCTTGAGAGGCTGTCCTACCTGAGAGGCTGTACATTGTGTCATTGGTCAAAGCCTTTGGGGAAGACGTTTTTGTGGATAATCTTCAGGTCTGGATCACTTTCTTTTGAATATTCTCAACTCGGACATAGACTTCTGGTGAGAGTATATTTACATAGTTTTCTTTTTTTTTCCAAAATGGAAATAGCTTAATTTTTATTAATTTTTAAAATAATAGACAGTAATGTTAAAATGCAATGCAACATGGACAGGTACAACCAAGAATACAAAGATATCTGATATCTCAACATCCAGAGGTAATGGCTATTAACATTTTAATGAACATCATCCAACATTATCTATCTAATCCACTTGTCTATCCCACCTATCATCTAACCCACCTATCTAACCTATCTATCTACCCATCCCGCTCTACATATAAGGAACCATTCTCTGCATTAGTTAGAACACAGGCTATGCTACCATAACCTCCACCCTCCCCCCAAAAAAACCACACCCATTGCCATTGAGTTGATTCCTAGCAACCCTATAGGACAGGGTAGAACTGCCCCATAGGGTTTCCAAGCAGACTGCTATATCTTTCTCCTGAGGAGGAGCTAGGGGGTTTGAACTGTTGACCTTTTGGTTAGCAGGCGCTACTACTGTGCCACCAGGGCTCCTGTAACAAACCCCCCCACCAAAAAAAGAAAAACAAAACCAGTTGCTGTTGAGTCAATTTGGACTCATGGCCACCCCATGTGTGCAGAGCAGAACTGCTTCATAGGCTGTGACCTTTCAAAAACAGATTGTCACGCCTGTCTTCTGAGGTGTCTCTTGGTGTGTTTCAGCTGCCAACTTTTTGGTTAATAGTCAAGCACTTACCCCTGAAACTATGGCCCTGGATGCTCTGTTAACCCAGAAATGAAACCATTCCCAAATCCCGCTCTTCAGACAAAGATTAGAAAATAATACACTTGAGGAGTGTGCTTCTTAGTTCAATCAGATACACGAGACCAAATGGGCAGCTCCTATCCGGAGGCAGGATGAGAAGGCAGGAAGGGACAGGAACTGGCTGAATGGACACAGGGAATCCGGAGTGGAAAGGGGGAGGGTGCTGTCACATTGTGGGGATTGCAACTAATGTCACAAAACAATGTGTATAAATTTTTGCATGAGAAATGAACTTGAGCTGTAAACTTTCACATAAGCACAATTAAAAAAAAAAAAAGTCATACGCTTAACTGTTTGCATCACCCAGGGACTCCATGCTACCATAACAAGTGACCTCAAAATACAGTGGCTTAAAGAAGGTAGGCTCATAGTGACCCCATAAGGCAGAGCAGAAATGCCCCATAGGGTTTTCTTAGCTGTAAAGCAGATTATCAGTTCTTTCTCCCACAGAGCCACTGGATGGGTTTGCTATGAATCAGAATCAACTTGAAGGTGCCTAACAAGCCAACAAAGAAGGTGGAAGTTAATTGCTTCCATGTGTGACAAACTGGTTAAGCATTTCAGGGCTGGTGTGAAAGAGCCCTGGTGGTACAAGGTTAAGCACTTGGCTGCTTACTGAAATGTGGGTGATTTGAACCCACCCAGAGGGAGTATCTGCTTCCATAAGGATTACGGCCAAAAAAACCCTATCGAGCAGTTCTGCTCTGTCACATGGGGTCACTATGAGTTGGAATCAACTCGATGGCCCCAAACGTGACGATTTGATGGTTTGGAGGCCCAGGCTCCTTCTAGCTTGTTGCTCTGCCTTCCCTAAGATGTTACTCTTGTTCTCATAGTAGAAGAAGGCTTGCCACCAGATCCACACTCCAGCCAGAAGGAAGGGGAGAAAGGAATTGAAAGACACATCCATTCCCTTTAAAGTCACAGCCTGGAATTCACTCACGGTTCTTCCTCTTATGTTCAGTCAGCCAGAAATTAGTCATATAGCCACATCCACCTCCAAAGCACACTTAGAATTGTACTCTTTATGTTCAACCTCCATGTGCCCAACTAAAATTTGATGTTCTGTTATTAATGGAAGAGGGGAGAATGGATATTAAGAGACAACCATCAGTATCTACCATGTTTTTCATGTAGTTTTATAATACACTTTTAAGACTAATCCAGTATGTCCTAAAATTTATTTCATTCCGATGAATATAAATATGCCTCATCCTTCATTCAAAATGTATAGTGTTTGTTGAAACAATGTACCATAACTCATTTCATTTGTTTCCTCTTGATGGAAACTTAGCTTGTTCTGATATTTTTACAAGTATAAACAATACTGTGATGACACCTGTGTATAATCACTTGGAGTACTTGCCCAATTATTTCTGTAAAATAAAGCCCTAGAAATAGAATTGTTGGCTGACAGGAAAATGATTCTGTGGTAATTCAAACTGCTAAAATTTCTTGTAGAAATATTGCATACATTTATACTCTTACCAGCAATGTTTGAGTATCTGTTTTTCCTCATCCATGCCAACACTGAATATTAACAGACAGTCTTTAGTCATGGCTAATGGGATAGGCAAAAAAAGTTTTTTCCTACCTTTTATGTATATTTGAAGGTAGTCAAAAATAATCCATAAATGAGTCTTGGTAGTAAATTAGGCAATAAAATTTTTTATCAAAACAAAGAAAATCTTTGATATAATGGTAGTTGATTTTCTTCCAAGCCTTGTAAGCGGATTCTGAAGGCAGTTCTAAGGGGAGAGTTGCCAAAATGTGTTGATTAAGAGATTGTATGAGCAGCAATGTTCCCCTAGGAAGAGCCGATTATTGGCCTAAGACAGAGCTCAGCTGTCTATCATGTACCAGCTATGGGAGCTTGGGCAAGTTCCATCACCTCTCTGCACCTTGGGATTCTATCCTTGGTGTCTTGGCTCCAGAGCCATGCTCATAGCTTCTAGGCAATATTAATAATGGAGCCCAGTACTGTAGTTTATTGGTCTGTTTTTGAGTTTGCTTCTCTCACTAACTTCAGTTTCCTGTGGGCAAAGATGGTTCCTTACACAATTTTTCTTCTCCAGTGCCCACCATATGTCTGGCACATTGAAAACACTCAATGATTGTTTATTAGATAAATGAATTAGTAAACAAAGGAGAATTTTGAAAAGTAGGAAGAAAATAAATGGAGTGAGTAATGAGATACTATCCTTCCTCAATTTCCTCAATGTGACTGAAAACAGATTGGTCTAAAGAGACATAGAAAGGAATGTACTAACTTTGTCTACTTCTGCATAGGCAGGTGTCTACACCAGTATAATGTACTACCACCTCTCCATCCAGGAGATCAACCACATGTCTGTGGAGATATTACCACATTGCTCTGGTTCACAGGCAGTAGTGCCCACCTCCTGCTGGTCAACATTCCACTTGTTGTCACATGACATTCACCTGCCTCTCTGGGTGCTGCATTTTCAGTCCTTTAAGGTCATGTTGACTTGCTTCTGCCCAAGCTCATATTCCTGTTAATTAGCAAAAGAAACATGTATATAAAATTCCAACTGGGAAATTATCCGGCAGACCCAAGAAGCTTCCTCTTTAGAAAATCATTGTCTGGGGCCCCTAGAATCCACATTGCTTGCTTTAGAAGCCAAGAATTTGTTGGATCCCAGAGAATGCTAAATGAATAGAGGCAGTGGTGGAAGCTGATTGGCTCATAGTATATTAGGAGCTTTCGTTGGCCAATGGCACCCGCCATGTTAAGCAATGGCTCTTTTCAAACCCTGTTCGAAGAGAGAGTTCACAAAGATTTAACAGGCTGAAATATTATAAAATTGTCCTAGTCTTCTCCCATCAGCCCATTGAAAGTGGGCAAAAGGAGAGGTTCCTAGTGCTATTTTCAATAGGGCCCTTGTCTCTTTTGATAGTCTATACTTTATAACCCACTGCTGAACTTGACACTGCATTTTGAGAATCCAGAATTCTGTGTTACGTATCTGTGGATCTGCTGCTTCTCAGACGGATTTGGTACTCGAAAACAATTAGATGAGATAACAGGGGTTGGTGGAAACCCCTGAAAAACCATTATTCAGCAATGTGACCTTTCATTTCTCTTTGGTGTTGGCAGAGAAGGAGTTGGGGGAAGAGAGCAATGGAAGGAGAAAGGGGACTATAACAGTGGATCAAAAGTTTCCACATGACTTAAAATTAGATTTTTTTTTTTCAGAATTGGTAGTATTCTTTGTATGACTGTTAATATTCCTCAACTCACTGAACTAAATCAAACTTGTAAAATCTATCCTGAGAATTCCACAAACAATATATTTCCTGCCTCAAGTATCAGAATCAGAAATGTAAACCTTCTTCGCCTGTCTTTCAGATTTCACAGCCCTGCTGGTGGACGTCATTGGAAATTCTGCCAGCTACCTCACAGAACTTTTTAAGTCAACCTCCATCCTCTCAGGTTGGTTTATCTTAAAAATTCTTGGTAAATTTGAGGTCTGGCATCCTTGTGGGATATAATTAAGCCTACTAGACTCCCACCGCTACCTCTGCCACTGGAAGTCTGAAGTAGAATTGACAGAGATACGCCTCATTTATCCTGTGGCTTCATGTAACTCCTCATTTCCCAGTTGAAAAGCACAGATCTAGTCAATTACCCAACAGATGGTCTCAATAGAAGGATGGAGCAGCTACTTTAAAAGTAGGGAGGGAGGAAGAAAGAGAAATGATAATAGATGTCACTAGGTGCTGGGGACTCTTGAAAGTGCTTTGCATGTATTCTGTCATTGACTCCTCACTAAACCCTATGGGGTAGGTACTCCATTTACTGCACTTTACAAGTGAAGAAATGGGAACCTGCCCAAGATCATTCTGCAGCACTAGAATTCTAACTCAGGCAGACTGGCTCGGAAGTCCATGTTCTTTGTCACTATGCCAATATGTGTGATAATAGTGTCCTGTTAACAATAACAATTATTGCTATTAGAACTACTTATTGAGCACCTCTTACCTGCCAGGCACCATACTTAGCCCTTCACACACATTGTCTCATTGGATCCTCATAGCAATACCATGAGGAATGAATGTGCAGCCACAGATCCACAGGCTTTTAGGCAGAATCTTTGGGACCAAGTATGCTTAGGCATTTGGAATTTCTCAGACTTTTAAAGGTCTAATAGCATGTCCTGGTGGCACAGTAGTCAAATGCTTGGCTGCTAACCGAGACGTCAGTGGTTCGAACCCACCAGCTGCTCCACAGGAGAAAGATGTGGCAGTCTGCTTCCTTGAAGATTACAGCCTTGGAAACCCTGACAGGCAGTTCTACTCTGTCCTATAGGGTCACTATGAGTCGGAATCAACTAGATGGCAATGGATTAATAGGGTATGTACACCATACATGATATAATGCCTCCAGCAGTAACAGGGCAGCCTGCTGTAATTGAAAATTTATTTTTAAATGTTTGAAATATGTATAAATGCATAATGAATACGTATAAATGCATAAATCAAATAGTTACTTAGCAAAATGTTTGACTGTTTACACTAAATGGGATAAATAAAGATTATACATCACCTTCCTTTGATCAAGTAAGGTTTTGCCACCAAATGAGTTTTGGTACCAGGGCTTCAAACCCGTTCAGAATGGTTCAGTAATTGCTGACATAAATGAGGGCAGTGTAGGCACTGCATAGCAACCAAATCCGTTGCCCGAGGTATTTTGACCTAAGTAGGAAACAAACAGAGGTGCCCCGCTCAAAGATGGTGGCCGACTTTGCTGCTTTGAATGTGTGTCACTCTCCACAGTCCTGCCAATAATCCCATCTCCTGCAACTTTTGGGACCCAGGCAGGAGACTGAAGTATTGGCAGGACTGTGGAAAGTGACACACATTCAAAGTGGCAAGGTCAGCCGCCATCTTTGAGCGGGGCACCTCTGTTTGTTTCCTACTTAGGTCAAAATACCTTGGGCAACAGATTTGCTTGCTATGCAATGAGGACTCTGTCCTCGTTTATGTCGGCAATAATTGTAAAGAAGGGATTTAAATTTTCGTTGTTGTAAAGATGGGTAAACTGAGTGCTGGAGTGGTCAAGCAGTTCACTCATGCCCGCATACCTAGTAAGTGGCAGAGCTGATGTTGTAACCCTGGAAGCTGACCCCCGGAAGCCATTACATTATACTGAACTCCCACCATCCTTGCAATAAAAACAAAAAACAAACAAACAAACCGAAAATCAGGGCTGTTTTAAGAATCATAAGTTAGCCTTATTTTCCTATAGCATCCTCAGCTTAAGATCTCCAGCTTACTTTGGAGCCCTGGTGGCAACAGTGGTTAAGTGTTTGACTGCTTACCAAAAGGTCAGCAGTTTGAATCCACCAGTTGCTCCTTGGAAACCCTATGGGGCCGTTGTACTCCTCTGTCCTATAGAGTTGCTATGAGTTGGAAATGACTAGATGGTAACAGGTTTTTGTTTTTGTTTTTGTTTTTAATTTATTTCAACTACAAAGTAGTTTCTGAGCTCTCTCTAAGCCCCTGTGCGTGCTTGTTTGTATTACAGTGAGTCAGACCAATGGATCTGACTGCATCTTCATCTGTATGATGACAGGAAAGTCAGGTGAAACATCAGTCCTTCCTTGACAAACTCTCTGGGCTGAGAATCAGACACAAAACTTCAGCTGATGAGTCCAAGGTTTTATCCTGTCGGTGTGATTTTTGCAGGAAGGAATCTTGCTGACATCTGGGACATGGCAGAGAAATCCCCTGTTATCCATTACACATTCACCAGCAGCGTGTCTGGTATTCTGGGAGAGTGCATTGGGCTTCTTTCCCTAAACCTTCCAAACTTCTACCGTCAAGTCTTCTGACCAGGGTCCCATCTGGCAGACTGAAGACTGAATGCTGTCCTCAAGTATTTTATTTGGCTGTGCTATGTTAAAAACCAGAGGATTTCACCATTGAAAAAAAAACAAAAAACAAAAACAAATTTCTGGATCTCTTGCAAAAGTAAACATGATGATCCTGGACATACCTCTACCCGATGGCAACAAGCAACTGGAAAGGTCCCTGGATGGCACAAATGGTTTGCTGGTAACCAAAAGGTTGGTAGTTCCAACCCACCCAGCTGCACTGCAGAAGAGACAGGACTGGTGATCTGCTTCCATAAAGATTACAGCCAAGAAAACCTTATAGAACAGGTCTACTCTGTAACACATGGGGTCTCCAAAGTCACAAATCAACAACAAAAAGCAGAAGTCAACAACAAAACAAACATCTGGAGCTGAGTACCTGCTGCCTCCATCAGGAGGGGCTCCTGTCTCCAGTTTACCATAGTCCTCACTACCACCTATTGGCTTGCACTCTTTTTTTTTTTTTCCCTTGCATTAACTACCTGGCTCATGTAGATATTTGAATTTGTGAACCTGTTCTAGACATTGCCACTCTACAATACCAGCCTCTACCTAGCCATCCTCTATCCCCACCCAACACCTGCCTATTCATTTGTGTTTTCTCTGTCACTCAAGTAGTATTTTATGACCCACTTTAAGTCTTCTCTCTCCCCAACGCTTATTTGTCATTTATAACTGAATAGAGTTTCTGGAATCTGGCTGGGTCTCTGTGATTATCTGATGCTGTGATTATCTTAGTGTGAGTCTTCATCACTTACCTTTGAACTGTAATAGCCTCTGAACCAGCTCCCTTATCCCACTCTCTTATTTATCTAAAATATCTATTCTTTGCTGCAAGAGTAATAGTCTTCAAATGCAACTTAGATTATGTCTCTTCACTGCTCAGAACATCTCAGTCAGTGGCAGAGGGTCCACAGTCCTTAGCCTGGAGTATACAGTTCTCCGTCTTCTAGCCCAGCCTCATCTCCTGCTCTGCTTGTCCGTGAATCTTGTTAAAACTACATTGAAACTCCCACACCTTCTTGTGGAATGTCCAAAGGGCTGTGAAGTGGGTGAAGGATTCTCTGATTGGATTCAAGTTCTGTTCAGGAAATATGTCGAATATCTGAAACTTTTAGATATGACAGCTTTGTTGTACCTAGTATTTGTGGAGATTGAAATTTTGGTTTAATTTGTAAGTAAGAGAAAGACTGCTTTTGGTGACATTTGTTACTATTCTGAGTAAGGTTTGATGCTCTATATTCTGTATATTTGCTGTCCTTTCAATAATTTAACAATGACTTAAGACTTAACAATGACTTAATGACTTCCAATGACTTAAGACCTTTCAATCACTTAACAGTTCTTTGATTCCAAAGTGTCAAGCATGTTATCGCCACTCTTGACTGTCTCCCCAACTGTGCAGCTACCAGTGGGATGGCTATGACTTCAAAGCCTACAACCACAAGCCAGCCAAGACTACCAAGTACAAGCCCCCAACGCCAGGGTGAGAGCACTGGAGTGTCTGCTCTGAGGACCTCTCCCTGGATACAGACAACTATTCCTTCAGAGGCAGAGGACACCATGACCACAGGTAGGTTTCTGGAGCTTCCTCTCACGGCCACAACCACCTGGTGTGGCTCCTCTCACACCCTCTGTCTTAGTTACCTACAGCTGCTCTAACACCACGAGTGGGTACTTTAAAGAACAAAAATTATTTGTCTCACGGTTCAGGAGGCTAGAAGTCCAAATTCAGGGTGTGGTCCTAGGGGGAGGTCCTTCCTTGTCTATTTCAGCTTGTAGGTGCTGCCAGCAATCCTTGGCGTTCCTGGGCTTGTAGATGCATCTGCCTCTGCCGTTTGTCTTCCTCTTTTCCCTGTGTGTGTCTCTGTGTCTATTCTGCTTTTTTATAATGCAGAAGTGATTAGATTTAGAACCCACCCTGCTCAGATATGATCTAGTCAATGTAAGAAAGAAAACTCTATTTCCAAACAGGATTACCAACACATATTTTTTTTTTTTTTGGCGGGGGACACAATTCATTTCATAACACCTTCCCAACTTTGGGTAAGAAGGCTTCCCACTTTTTTCTCTCCTTTGACATTTCTCCCCCCTACTTCCTCTAGGCTTACATAAATAATCAAAATCCTCTCCCTTTATCCCCCCTCATTTTTCCCTCCCTCCTATAACTTTTGCCTTAGTTTACCTTAAATAAGAGCTCTGTATGAGCCAGTGTGGGTTCAGTAAGAACAAGCAAAGGCAGCAAATGTCATAGACATGATGTACTTCTAAAATTTATTTTTGTAACTTTTTATTTTGGAATAGTTTAAGACCCACAAGGAGTTGCAAACATAGTATAGAGAGTTCCTAGGTAACCTCCACCCGCTTCCCCCAGTGAAAATATCTTCATAATCATAGTACATTAGAGGATAAGTTACTTTTATTTCATGAAAGCATTTAGCAATAACTCTACTAAAACTCACACAAAATGGTGAAGTGAAGTCAAAATTTTGTGGCATGGTTCAGTTAATTTGTAGCTGTAGGAGAACAGTGCCCAGAATATGTCAATGACCTGATGCCAATGTGAAAGATGGCACCAATGACAGGCCAGGAGGATCTCTCTTTCCACCATCTTTGGGCACAAGAGCAATGGTGTGGTCACTGAAGAGCCAAAAGTCATGCTTATCCAATTTCTAAATAACATAAAACTGAGGTAACTCTTTCATTAAGAGCCAATACTATCTCAATAAGTTCCAACAATAGACCGGAATCATGAGGATTCATTCATTCATTCATTATTCATCAAACATGCATTTAATACGAGACACTAGGTTCAAGACACAGAGATGAGTAACACATGTTCCCTCTTCTTCCTGAGGTCACATACTAGGGAGGGAGACACTTCTCGTACCAGGGAGGGAGACACTTCTCGTACCAGGGAGGGAGACACTAGAAGGTCGGCCACAGTTATGACCCAGCCTACAAAGAGCTGTTGTACATGGGGAGCTCAGAATGGGGCTCTCAACCCAGCATGGAGGGAGACACAGGCTTCCCTGAGGAGGTCAAAATTGACAGGAGTCAGGTAGGCAAGGAAATCAGAGTGGAGTGGGTGGCGGAATGGAAAACAAATCACCTTCATTCATTCAAAGCATCCTAGATTTACTGCAAAAGGTTAGTACAATATCTGGCAGCATGGCAAACATACAAAATTAGAAAGCTTCCCAGTATAACATGAAAAAAAAAGATGTGATCTTACATGGCAAGAAAAATTATACAATACCTAGCTATAACCCTAAAAGGAGCCTTGGTGGCACAGTGGTTAAGAGCTTGGCTGCTAACCAAAAGGACAGCGGTTCGAATCCACCAGCTGCTCCTTGGAAACCCTATAGGGCAGTTCTACTCTGTCCTACTCAGTTCTACTCATAGGGTTGCTATGAGTCGGAATTGACTCAAGGGCAATGGGTGTGTGTGTGTGTGTGTGTGTGTATAACCCTAAAAGGAAAAGTGCTAGATTTATATAAGAAAAACTACACAATTTTAATGAGGGTAATAAAAAAATGCATTAAATAAATGCATAGATATACCGTGTTCAGGATGAGAAATCTAAACGTTGATAGACGGCAACTGTTCCCAACCTAACAGACAGATTTAAAATCTTCCAATGGGAACGGACAGATGAGAACATCTAACACTGTTTAAAAGGGAGAGCAACAAAGAAAGATTTGCTTTATCAACCAACAATCTGTATGTTGTTGGGCAGGTGTTATTATTATTATTATTATTATCTCCATTTTAATGATAAAGCTTAAGAATGGTAAGTAACTTGCCCCAAAGTTAACAGCGTGGAGAAGGCAGAGGTAGATTTCACTTCCAGGTTTCCTCACCTCTAACCCCATGATCTTTCCACTTGCCTCATGATTACAAATGTATTTCTCAGACATAAGAGACAGCCCATGTTCCACCAAACACATATCCTAGCTGATTCTCTGGGAATCCATGGGATTTGGAGGGTGGAGTAACTATAGGTTCCTGGGTGGTGCAAGGAGTTTGCACTCAACTACTAACCTAAAGGTTGGCATGGTTCAAACCCACCCATTGGTGCCGTGGAAGAAAGGCCTGGTGATCTGCTTCTGTAAAAGATTACAGCCAAGAATACCCTATGGAGCACAGTTCTACTCTGTAACACATGTGGTCACCATGAGCTGGAATTGACTCGATGGCAACAGGTTTGAGTTTTTGATTTTTTGTATTTTTAATTGGTGGTTAAGAAGACAAAATTTAGTTTGGTCCATTAGTTTCAGGTCAGGGTGAAGTTTAAGTCCTTGGATGGCTGATTATTACTTATGCACATTGCATTTGCCCTTTGATACTATCACAATGTCTTGACAATTTTATATTTGAATCAATATGGTACAGCATGTCAGAGCTGTGTTGACTGTCACTTTGAATGTGCAGCTACCAAGAGGGTGACTGGAACCCCATGGGTGGGTTCCACACGACTCCTGCCCTCGGCACAGATCATCGGTGAGAAAACACCTGGAGGGCCTCCCTGGGAGACAGCTTTTCTGACATCGCCTCTGAAGTTTGAGGAGGCCGTGAACACAAGAAGCCTGGCAGGCACCACTGCTAGAACAGTGCCCACGGCCAGCAGCCCATCCCAGACCAGCTACACTCAGGTAAGAGGTTGCCCGCTTCCACACTAACCCCCATTTACAATTAATCCTAGCTGTCTTAGTCATCTAGTTCTGCTATAACAGAAATACCACAAGTGAATGGCTTTAACAAAGAGAAGTTTATTCTCTCACACGCCAGTGACTACCAGTCCAAATTCAGGGCATCAGCTCCAACGGAATGCTTTCTCTGTCGGCTCTGGAGGAAGGTCCATGTCATCCATCTTCCTTTGTTCTGGGAGCTTCTATGGGCAGGAACCTCAGGTCCAAAGATGCGCTCTGCTCCTGGCACTGCTTTCTTGGTGGTATGAGGTTCCCATGTGTCTCTGCTTGCTTCTCTCTTTTATATCTTAAAAGAGATTGGCTTAAGATGCTATCCAATCTTGTAAACCTCATCAGTATAACCTCATCATAGTGAGAGAGTTTACAACACATAAGGAAATCACATCAGATTACAAAATGGTACACAATCATATAATACTGGAAATCATGACCCAGCCAAGCAGACAGGTATTTTTGGGGGACACAATTCAATCCATGGCACAATGATTCTCTCTTTTTAAACCTTTTGTAATTTTTTAAAGTATAGCACACGTACAAAAAAGTAATAAAACAAATGGGCCACATAATTAATAATTATTAAGCAAACTCTCTGGCTCCTCCTTGTCTGTACCCTGCCCCTTTCTTCTCAGCTTGAATGAATGAATGAATGACAACTCCCTCCTCACACAGACCTCCTACCTCTTCTCTCTTATGTAAACCACTTACCCATTCCTTCTCCTTTTCCCTGTTTCACTGTTGATTAAACAACATTATTCACTCAGGATAGTTCAACTGCCTTTTGCACATTATTATTTTAATAGACTAAGATGAAGAAAGCCTGAGCTCTCAACATCAGGAAAAATTGTCGAGTGTGAGCCCAGTTTTGTGTGTGTGTATGAATGGGACGTGCCCATTTCCTTGTCTACACTCTGAGCACCTCCAGTGTGGATTCTGTTTCTCACTCATTTCTGAACCTTCAAGACCCTGCCTAGGTGTTGACGATTTCTATTCAATCAACGTTGGTTGAATAGGAATGGACGGTGGCCTGGATCCTCTTCTGCCCATCAGACTCTCCATGAAGAGACGCAGCCTCACCTCTCCTCCCAGGAACATACACCCTTGGTACCCAGACTCCAAGGCCAGCCAAGGCACCAGCCCCCAAATATCCACAGACAGGTGAGAACACGCTGCTGAGAAAACCCCAATCCCACCTGGAGGAAAACGTGGCTTGGGCAGGAGAAAGGAGGGATCAGGTGCCAGTGGGCAGACCAAGCTGGGATTGTACTTTCATTGCTCCAGCATGACAAGAAGGAGAACTGGTGTGTGAGCCTTGCGGAACTGCCCTGTGATCTTGGATAAATCACTTCCCCTTTCTTGGCTGGAGTCCCTGGGTAGTACAAATGGTTAACACAGTTGAGTGCTAACAGAAAGGTTACAGGTTGGACACTACCCAGAGGTCCCTCAGAAGAAAGACCTGGCACTCTACATACAAAAAAATCAGTCATTGACTGCTGTGACCAAGATCACAACGGAGGGTCCTGGACAGAGCTGGAGTAAAATGTAGAACAAAATTCTAATTCACAAAAAAAGACTGGACTTACTGGCCTGACAGAGACTGGAGAAACCCTGAGAGTATGGCCCTCAGACACCCTTTTAGCTCAGTAATGAAGTCATTCCCTAGGTTCACTGTTCAGTCAAAGATTAGACAGGCCCATAAACAAAAGGAGACTAATGGACAAGGATTAGAAGACAGGAGGGGACAGGAAAGCTGGTAATAGGGAACCCAAGGTCGAGAAGGGACTGTGTTGACATGTCATGGGGTTGTTAACCATTGTCATAAAACAATATGTGTACTAACTGTTTAATGAGAAACTATTTGTTCTGTAAACCTTCATCTAAAGTACAATAAAAAAATTTTTTAAAAATTCAGTCATTGAAAACCCTACAGAGCACACTTCTACTCTGACCCATGAGGCTGCCTGCCATGAGTCACAATCGGCTTGATGGCAACTGGTTGGTTTCTTGGCTCCAATTTCCCTCCATATAAAGTAAAATAATTAGATTGGCCAACAAACCCTTTATCCTTGAGGTGTAAGGATTCTGGGGCTGTGTGTCTAACCCAAGATCATTTCATTTTGACTTTGGAAAGACCATTCCTGCCCCTTGCAGGTGAGCTCCCCACCACCTGGCCATTTACCCCTGGGGACGAGCCAGCCCTGGTCCTAGGCCTCCACCAGCTTTCAAGTGAGTACTCATGCCTGGACAGAGATCTTACTCTTGTTTATTTTGAATTAGGTGGTGTAGAATAATAGGAAGAGATGCCTTGGGTAAATTTAGATTCAGACTGCTGGGACTCAAATCCTAACTCTACCGTTTACTGGTGTGATGGCCTCAGGCACTTAGCTTCCAGAATTTCATTTTCTCAGCTGTAAAGTGAGAATAATAGCAATTATTGTGAGCACTGAAAATGTGTTTTCTCTTTTTTCCTTTTCCACGGGGTTTTGTATTAAGTAAGATAATGTGTGTGGGAGTGAGCTGGAACTATAGAGCATTATATAACTCAATTCAGTGTATGGTTACTGAGTGAGCGTTCATTGAGCAAAGGCCTGGGCTTTGTGGAAAGGGAGGGACTGTTACATAGTCAGGGTGGCTGTTAGCGGAGCAAGAGGAAGGGGTGAGGAGGACTCTGAAATTCCACCCCCACTGTCTAGGTGTGATTCACTTTTGTTCTGTTTTAAAGACACCCTAACTTCCCCATCCCTGCACACTTAATTCTCATGAGTCTGGAGAAAACTGTTTCCTTGACCTATAGCTGGATTTGCAGGACTCCTGATGGACCTGAAGTTTCTGTGGCTCATGCTGTGTTTTTCCAGCTTCCCGATGCCTCACTCACCTCTTTTCTGTTGAGCCAGTTTCCATCAGAGAGAAACTGATACGAAGTGATTCCTTCAAAGCTGGTTGGGTCCCTCCCACTGCTGGATGTCTTTCTATACTGGTTTCCTGAATGCCCCCTGGGCACCCAGTCATATGTCAACAGGGCATTATTAGATTGCCGGGCCTCCACAGTCTCCTTTTTCACATCACCTAAGATGGGCCTCACCCCACCCTCAGCCTGCAGTGAATGGTGAATGGGGCTTTCAGACACAAAGACCGGATTATGCTGCCAGAGGAAATCATAGCGCGTTTTCTCCCCAGAGTTCTACAGAAGCACACTGACGGCGTAGGTGGGGCAGTGGTCAGACTGAGTTTCAGAAAACAAGTTGACTATGTATGTGTCTTTGTATCTAGTTATCTGTCTTCTTTCTGTCTGTGTATCTATCTATCGGAAACCCTGGTTGTGTAGTGGTTAAGAACTACGGCTGTTCACTAAAAGGTCAGCAGTTTGAATCCACCAGGCGCTCCTTGGAAACTGTATGGGACAGTTCTACTCTGTCCTATAGTGTTGCTAAGAGTTGGAATCAACCCTACGGCAATGGGTTTGGTTTTTTTTTTTTTTAATCTATTATCTACCTGTCTACCTATTCATCTACCTATTCATCTATGTACCCGTCTGTGTATCCATCCATGCATCCACGCATCCGTCTATCTACCTGTCCTCTATCTATCCGTCTATCTATCTAGAAATATAATTGTAAAATAAATGGTTCTGGCATCTTCCAGTAAATGATTCTGCTTCTCCAAAAATCATACCACAGAGTCTTTGAAATTCACTCATTCATCTACATTCATCTTTTTGAGGAATAGCTATTGAGCTCCTACTATGTGCCAGGCACTGTGCTAGGTCTGTTTTTACTTGCTTTTTGCAATAATTCTACAAGGTAGGTTATGTTATCTAGCAGCCTAGTCAATAAAAACCAACTATAGGTGCATACCCCTACATTAGCAGTTAACCCCCAGATGATCTGCTAGACAATACTCAGTACTACACTAACACTAATACTAGTACTAAAACTAGTCCTCCTTTTTGCTTATTTCCAAGTTTTGAATAATTTTTCTTGACAGTGATAAGTGATTCTTTTAAATATGATAAGTGATATTATTATTAATATCTTAATAATAATCTTGAAATCCCTCAAAGGTAAGCCCTGTGAGAGGAAGGCCCTTTTCCCTCTAATTCATTGTTATCCTTTGTGTCTGTTAGCAGTGCCTGGATGTAGTGGATGCTCCATAGCTATTTTTAAATCCATCAGTCGGTAATATTGATAGCTGTCATTCATTGTTTACTCCTTGCAATATGCATGTGTAAATTACCTCACTTAGTCTTCCCAGTGACCCTATGTGACAGCTATAGGTGTTCTTATTTACCATGTAAGGAGACGCAGGCTCAGCCAGAGGAAGATGGACCAGCCTCAGGATAGCCCAAGGAGATAGAATTTCAAAGAAATCTCTACTGGCCCCTTCTTTTAACATTTACAGCCTTCTCCTAAACACAACATACAAAACAACCATGAAACTCCGACTTAGTGAAACATAATTAGTCTCCAACCCGTGGAAGGAGAGAGCCTGGTTCTTGCCAGCCTCATCGTTTGACCTGCCTCCCTCTTCTCTCCTCCTTGCACCCATGCACTCACGGGCACACACACATATGTATTCACATATGTATGCCCCCACATGCACACGTATATATCCATGTGCACATACACACACTTACATGCATGCACTTACATATATCCATGCATGTCTGCGTACACACACACGTGCATGCACACGCACACCTGATAGTCTCTGTACCGTCACATTATTCTCCATTTCCCCATCAGCAAGCCATCCCCTTACATGACGCTGAGCCATTATACGATCTAATCCTCAAACATGGATGCCCTCCACCTGATGCATTGCTTTTCAACATTTTAGATCCTTGTCTAATATTTCCTCTTCAATGAAAGTGTCTCTGATTTCCTCCAGGGACTGGGTCCCATTTTCTCCCCTGCTGTCTCTCAGAACCCTCACAACAGTGTTCCCGGGCAGTGGTGAAGCAAGGATATGTTTACCTGTCTGTCTCAGAGCTACCCGAGCGCAGGAGTGAGACCACGTTTACCTGGCACAGTACCTGACAAAAAGAAGATGCTAAATTCTTGCTGATTTGAATTTCTGGTCTGGGGTTGCATCTTCTAGGATGTCCTCAGCTGCTCGGGTGTTCTCAGCTGCTCCTCAGGGAGGGGGCCATGACTGCTGTCCCCTTCCCCTTGGCCATCCAGAAGCTCAACCCTTGCCTGATAGAGCTGTGTCGCTTTTTCCAGCAGTGCCTCTGCACGAGCCAGAGTAGGAGCCCCAGGACAAAGGGCATGAGGTAACCTGGGCCACTGGCTGCTTTTCAAACCCAGTATTGATAGGTAGCCTGTGAGGCTCAATGAAGCTGCAGCATAGAGTGTAGCCACAGTCTCTAGCATCCATCCCTATTCAGGACAACCTTTCCCTTTCAAGCACCTGGGTTACCTCTTGCAAATCTGTTCTCTTTGACTTCCCATAGACTTCCAGATTTCCCCTCCAAGCTTTCTAGTCCCTTCTTCATTCAAAACAGGTAAAACACATAGAACCCTCAAAGTTGGACCCTCCATTCTTTCCAGGGGAGGAGGTGCCAAGGTCTCCTGAGCTGGGTAGTCATATGTAGGTTGGAATTGCTCTTCATCCAGTGGTCCACAATGGGATAAGCCGGGGCCTACAGATCGCCACGGACTAGGGGGCTACAACCTTACCATGTCCCATATCACCAGTCTGCTCCAGACCAATAAATACACAATAGGCTCAGACAGAGCTGAAGCAGCTCTTTATTGGGGGGCTCAGGTAGGTGTCCCACCGCAGGACAGAGTTGGAGGATAATGTTATTAGGAGTCATGGTTTTGTTAGCCGACTGACTCCTTTTTACCCCAAGGGGATTCAAGGGTTGGGAGGACAAGGCCTTACTGACTAAGCCTTAAGAGGATGTTCCCTATGAACAGGTTTTCATTCCCTGAATTCCCTTTCTCACCAAATCCTCTCCCTTGCACGGTTCTCTCCTGTTTGGGGTCCCCACTGCCATCCTTGGGGCACACCATCCCTCCTTGCAGGATGACTGAGCTCTGTCCCCTTCCCTCCTGATTCTTCTTCCTCAGCCCAGGCTCCCGCTGACTCCACAGAGGGGTGCAGCAGCTCTGGGATGGTGGAAATGGTGCATGCTTCCACTCCTGTTCCAGCTCATTCTGTCCATGGCATTGCAGCTGACCCCTGCCCTAAAGACAAGCACAACATGTACCTGATTAACTGGTTTTCTTCTAAGACCATGTAGCCTTTTCTGCGTGAGAAATGCCCCTCTGGTCTACGTGCAAGGAGTCCCTGGGTTGCATAGAGGGGCAAGCACTGGACTAACCGAAAGGTTGGAGGTTCAGACCTACTCAGAGACGCCTTGGCAGTAAGACCTGGTGGGCTGCTTCTGAAAGGTCACAGCCTTAAAAACTTTATGGAGCAGTCCTGCTTTGCACACTTGGGGTCGCCATGAATTGGAATCAACTCAACAGCAATTAACAGCAACAGTCTATGCGAGGAGAACATATTCTTCTTATTAACATTACTTCGACTCCACTTATTACAAAGTAATAAACATGGCCAGTTATCTGTTCATTTGCCTCACCGTATTAACTGGGGGTGCCTCCGCCAGAGGACTCTGGGATGGACAATGTCATGTTCAAATAGTTTGTCTCCTGATCAGACAGGCAGGGAATTTCAGTTAAAACTCTGAGCCACGTGCTCTCACAAATGGAAGCCTCCTTCCCCACTTCTCTTGCCACACCTATAAAGATGGAGAGGGCTTCCAAAGAAAGGCTCCCTTGCTGTGAGTAATTGGCCACATGTTCATACTGATGTATTCTGGCTGTCTTCTCCCAGCCATCACAGGACAGTGACTGCTCCCAACCCTGATTTACATCTTTAGGTACTGTCTGGAACACTATTCCTGGTTTCTGAAGAATGCAACATATATCTGTCAGAGGGTGAAAAGGGTGTCCCACTCCCACAGTAAGTACACAGCTTGTCTATGTTATGTCTTAAATGAATGCACCACACAAAAGGGTTCGATCCTTCTGAGCGACCTGCCTGCTTTAACAGGGAGCAGTAGAAGGGGTGTAGCTCATTGAAGTAGAAGGGGTGTAGCTCATTGAGTCATCATTAATTCTAGACAAAGAGGATCTAGGATAGTTCTGATTCCCCTTCACCTAACAGTTTCATGTTTGCAATAAAGTATAGGAAAAAAAGCAGAAGTCAGCCAGGCCTAGTACTGATGCTATCTTAACTTCTCTGAGGTAAAACAAACCAAAAGACAAAACCCCACATAAACACTCAAATTCCTGACCCAAACAAAATGTATACAAATATTTAAGAAAAAGAAAGCAACAGGAAGTATTAAAAGTAGGTTATACAGTACTTCCTTCCTTGTTCTAACGACTCTAAAGCCCCATTGACTCCCTCTGCCCCCCGAGAGATGCCAGACATCTGCTTTTTCTTTTTTTTTTTTTTTCCTCTCTATTCCTGCAAACAAAAGTGGCCGGGATGGGCTTTCTGGCCACCAAACAAATGGTTTAGCCTTCTTATTGTGCCATCAGCCTGGACTATATGGTAAAGGGAATCTGGCATTCTAAAAATAGTTTTTGCAAAACTGTATTAAACTATGTGAAAAATTCTTTCTCAGTATAACCCAAATATAAGCTGGTGCTCATATGGCCCAGTGTTGACAATGTTTTGCATCAAAACACACACACTTAAAGTTTAGCCCCCTAAATCTTGTAGCTCGCGAAGAACATCAAAGGGGATCCAATGGGATCCATGGTGACAATTTTAAGAAATTCGTCTTCCTATTCTTTTTGCCCTCCCTTCCTACAGCTGCCATCTCAAAGCCTCTCTCTCTGTTTTATTTTCCAGTTTATCACTCAGTAAAAGACTGTTGCTGTTGAGTAGATTCTGACTCATAGCAACCCTATAGGACAGAGTAGAACTGCCCTATAGAGTTTCTAAAGAGCAGCTGGTAGATTCCAACTGCCAGCCTTTTGGTTAGCAGCTGAGCTCTTAACCACTGCACCACCAGGGCTCCTATCAATCAATAACTCTCCTACAATCACACTCTTTGTTTCCGTATGCCTCCTCTGCTAATTTTGCTTTCCTTTTGCCTCTATTCTTTCTTCTCTCTCAGATCAAGTCTCTTATTTTTTATGCAAATCTATCATCCTGCTTCTCCTGTCTTCTCTTTCTATATCACCTTCATTCAAAAAAGCCAAGGATTAAAAGTACGTAGTCAGAAGTCAGAAGTCAAAGAGAGAAACCCGTTCGTTGATGTTGGGGAGGTAACAGGAAATCCTCCAAACACTTTTAATTAAATAGCTCTTTTCTTATCCTTGCTACGTTAAAATCTCTCTACAAACAACTTATTATAAATATCTGAAAGACACATTAGTGAGTTTAAATTAGTATCATGCAAACTGGGGGGCGGGGGGCTGAGTTAGATACCGTTGAGTACTAGGGAACAAAAAAGCCCTAGGCAGAGACTGGCGAAATCAGGGTCTGCTCCCAATGTGACTTTGCTGCCAACCAGCAAGGTAGTCTTGCACAAGTCCTTCCCACTTTCTAAGACTGACCCTGAGTGACTCCCAGCCAATGTGCTGCCTCACACTTGTCCTCTGGAAGATCCTGGACCATTGCTGATACATCAGGTTTTAATTTATGACTCTGTACCTTTTCCTTCCCATTATCTTGAGTTCTCTCTGTTTTTTTTTCCCCCAGCATTAAAGCAAAAGTGCCTTGACAATATCTGCAAGTCTGTGTGAGGCCTTGAAAAAACAATGTGATGTAACAATGAATTCAAGCAACTTCCCTTCACCCTGGCCCTAGATCATCAATTAATTGAAAGTGGTTCTTTTCTAAAATAACGTTTCTTTCTCTCCTGTGAATATGTGTAAGGTATTGAAGGTAGAACTGAAGGTACAACTTGTTTATATGCAACAACTCAGACTCGCCATACTATGAGATCTAGATAATCTTCCAAGACCCCTTGGTAGGAGACAATGAAAACTTTCCCTCAGGAGGAGGTGTAGGGAGCTGTTTTGGTTGAGGTATGGTTTTGATTCCTCTTTTGTGTGTCTTACTATAGTTGGGAGTCCCCAAGACCACCCTCTAGTTCAATGATTTTCTAGGACTCACAGAACTCAGAAAAATTGTTATGCTCACAGTTACAGTTTATTACAGTAAAGGATATAGATTAAAATTAGCAAAGGTAAAAGGAACACAACTGAGTCCAGGAGAGACCAGGTGCGAGCTTCCAGTTGTCCTTCCCATGGAGTTCTATGGACAGCACTTAATTCTGCCTTCAGTGATGCGTAACAACACATATGGAGTGTTGTCAACTGAGGACGTTCACCTGAACCCCAAGGTTTTTAATTAGGCCTTGATCACATAGACATAGAGCATCTGTGTGGTTGACCTTCAGTCTCCAGCCTCTCCAGAGATCAAACTGATGCTGCGTGGTCCAAGGCTTCCACCATAAATGATATTGTTAGCATAGACTATTGTGGCATGGCGCAAGGCTCCAAGTAAGCAATGACAGTCTTACCAGGCAGGTTATACCAAGGATTTAGAGATTATCTTCCAGGAGCTTATCAAAGGCCAGAACCTTCTTTGGAATGTGCGGGGTTTGAACACCCCACACCTGCTGAGTCAAACCTTTACTGCACACCCACACAGTGAGGTGTCCCTTTTATTGTTATCAGGATCCTGTTTATTATCTCCAGGCCTGCAGTTGCTCTAACTTCGCTCTAAGCACTGAGTCTCTGTGAAGAGCATTACTGCAGAGATTTGTACCTTCCAGTGGCCCTGCACAGCCCCTTCATTCCTCGTTACCAGGCACAGCTTCCTCTGACTTTGCTGGTGTTTGTGTCCCACTCTCTCTCCCAAGTTCTCTGCCTGGCCACCATTTCTACCCTTTGGTGTGAAGAGTCACTTTCTGCTTGGGGTCCAAGAGGAAAGCAATTTTCCTCCACTGAAAGACACATGAGTGCCCTGGTACCATCTGTGAACAGCAAGGTACTTGGAGAGGTGGAACTTGAACCTTGGGGAGAGAAGAAGTCAGATACTTCCTTGGCTAGTGATACACAGAAAGATTTTTGTAATCTCCACAACACTTGAGAGACCCTCAAGGTTGGGCAAATATAACACTCATAAATACCTGTTATCACGGCCTTTGGGGAGCCTGCAAAGGGCCCTCTAATTTTCATATTTGAAAAGGACACAGAAACTTTGCTAGGAGGCATAGGGACTCCTACTTGGATAGGAATCAAGAAACAAGCTCATTCATTCAATGTGGGTTAATTTGACTAGACCCTCTCTGATGGATGAAGTTAATATTAATTAAGGACCTTGGCCAGGAAAGGACCTCTGAGGTTTCCTCCAAAGACTAACTTATCAGCTGTGGGAGAAGTAGACAGACGATCTGGCTTCAACACCTGGACTACTTGATTGTAGGGAAAGCCCATGTGGACCCAGCCATTCCGTCCTTGGGAATCATGACTGAGCATGACCATCAGGGGTCTGACCTAGATCCAAGGACAAATGCACAGAGGACACATGGGACTGGCTTCCTATGGTCACACCATCTGTCACAACAGCAGCAATGTCAGGAGCAAAACGGGATCCTGGAGTGAGAATGAGGTCAAGAGACTGGTGGCGTCCCTGTCACCAAGACTTGGAGAGGTTGGACCCTGCTGGAGCTGCGTAAGCCCTGATTTGGGGGATAGTTAGGGCCACGTGGAGGCCTCAGGTGTGCCGCTTTACTGGATTTCCTGCTAACCTGCGCACATGCGGTCACATGTGGTTGACTGATGCAGTAAAAGAGGAGGGACAGTTATTGTACCCAAGCTGATGAAGGAGCTCATATATTTCCACGTGTAACATCATTAAACAGTAGTCTTCCTGGCTGCAACGGTGCAGGCTCATTTCTATTTCGTGCCTAAAAGACCAGCTGCATTGTTCAGGGAGAAGGGGAGGGATCGGGGGTGAGGGAGAGAGAGGGGCAAGGACATGGATTATGTCTGTGTTTCTTGGCCCCGTGTGTGTGTGTGTGTGTGTGTGTGTGTGTGTGTGTGTGTGTGTGTGTGTGCGCGCGTGCGTGTGTGTGTGTGCCTGTGTGTGTGTGCCTGTGTGTGTGTGTGTACGCCTACCTGTTTTGCATAAGTGTACCTGCACTGCGGGTTTGTGTGAGTGAGGAACTCAGGTGCTATCGTCATGAAGTCTGTAATTTTAAACTCTCCTAGAGAACTTTTCTTCTCTGTATCTAAGTTCTTGTGGAAAACGTCACTCCCACCCTATTCCACCAACAGAGAAGAGCAAGGCCAAGGTTCTGGGGATATGTTAGGCCAGTGGTTCCCGCTGAAGGGCAATGTTGCCCCCCAGGGGGTATTTGGCCATGTCTGGAGACATTTTGCCATTGTCACAACTTGGGGGGGGGGTGCTACTGGCATCTCGTGGGTAGAGGCCAGAGATGCTGCTAAACCTCTAACAGTGCACAGGGTAGCCCTCCCTTCCCTCAGGTACACAGAGAATTATCTTGCCCAGAATATCAGTCATGGGGAGATTGAAATACCCTGTTACAGGCTCTGGGGCGAAAATAAACCTTCTCAAATCCCTGTGAAATCCCTCGAACAACTTACCCTTGCAGGTTACTCTGTCTCACGGGCAACCAGCAGCTGCGCTCCTGAGACGCTGAAAAGAGGAATTTTGCCTCCTGGAGTCGTATATCACCGTAGATTTAACGGCTTTAAAGACGAGGCGTCTTCTCTGTCGGTGAGAAGGGCTGGGGACAAAGTAGCTTCCTTCTTCCATGCACAGGGAAGACCGGACAATAATTAATGATCGAGAAACAAAAGCTCCAGCGTACAAGGACAACTCCTCAGCTAATTCTCTCCTGATTTAATAGTTCAATAGTCTGTAGAGTGGACGCTGACTCAGGGTGACCCCATGTGTGTGTCAGAGGAGAACTATGTGTCAGAGTAAAACTGTGCTCCATAGGGTTTCCACTGGTTGATTTTTCAGAAGTAGATCACCAGGCCTTTCTTCTGAGGTACCTCTGGGTGGACGTGAACCTCCAATCTTTCAGTAAGCCGCCAAGTGCGTTACTGTTTGCACCACCCAGGGACTCCCCTACGACATACCAAGCACTTTCTATAGCTTCCTCCTCCTCACAGCCATCCTAGTAGGATTATCCTATTTAACTGACATGGGAGCTAAGGCTGAGCAGGGACAAGTTCAAAGTCACACTGCTACTAAGTAGCAGGGCTGGCACTGGAGCCTAAGATGTCTGATTATAAAGCCCCATCTCTCCCTGCCGCACAGCTTGGCCAGAAAAATCCCTCAAAGAAAACTGTTGTCATCAAGTCGATTCCGACTTACAGCGACCCTATAGGACAGAGTAGAACTGCTGCACAGTTCCCAAGGCTGTAAATCTTTACAAAAGCAGACTGTCACACCTTTCTCCTGCAAAGCAGTTAGTGGGTTTGAACCGCCCACTTCGCAGTTAGCAGCTGAGTGCTTAACCACTGCACCATCAGGGCTTCTTCCATAAAGGAGAAAACCAAACCCATTGCTATCGAGTGAATTCTGACTCATAGCGACCCTATAGGACAGGGTAGAACCGCCCCGTAGGGTTTCTAAGGAGTGACTGGTGGATTTGAACTGCTGACCTTTTGGTTAGCAGCCCAGCTCTTAACCACTGCGCCACCAGGGCTCCTTCCCTAAAGGAAAGAGGCATCCAATTCCCAGGCTTGAGGCCAGGAGCATATAAGAAGAGCCGCTCTGAGATCCTCTTGCTGAAGAATTAACTAGACCAGACAAAGCGGCCCTTTTTCTTGTGGGAGAGCCTGTATGACTTTCATCAGCCTTTCATCCCCAGACGACCCCGAGACATCATCCTGGGGCACCAAGCCTTTGAGGTGAGGGAGTGTGGAACAGGGGAGCCTTTGTTCTCTAATTAGAGCCTGGGTCTCCTCTGAGGCTCAAGAAGGGGCCTCGGAGTATGGAGCCTTGACCTGTGCCAAGCCATAGTATTACGATTCCCCCACCCCTGAAAGGCAGCCCACCTGCCAGCGTTCATGAAAGGCCAAACTCTTGATGTGAGGAGGGGGAGGTGGGATCACATGACTAAGGGTCTTTTCTTGGGGTATAAAGGACTCAGCCCCCATCTTGTTCAAAGTTAAGCATTGTTCATCCAACTGCGTTCAGGTGGGACCTTCACGGTAGGAAGCCCCTTCTCCTGATGGTGTGGGGGCCAAAGAAGAAGGGAGGGAGGGAGGGAGGCAGGAATGGAAGAAGGGAGGGAGGGATGGAGGGATGGAGAGAGGCAGGGGTGGAGGGAGGGAGGATTCTCTCACAGGGGTCTGAGCCCTGGATGCTACTCTGGGGTATAGAGACCCAAAGACGTTCTGAGCCCTTATATAAGAGTTGTTGCAAAGCCCGATTGACAGCACCTGTTGAACTTTCCTGGGGCAGAGGCTCAACCACATAAATGAGGGTCCTATAAACCTATGGAAACCCTGATGGCATAGTGGTTAAGAGTTTGGCTGCTAACCAAAAGGTCAGCAGTTCAAATCTGCCAGGCGTTCCTTGGAAACCCTACGGGGCAGTTCTACTCTGTCCTATAGGGTCACTATGAGCTGCAATCGACTCAATGGCAACAGGTTTGGTTTTTTCGTATAAACCTGTGGGGTCCAATGACTATCCTGAGGGCAGCTGGTGTGGAAATACCAGGACCAGGACCAGCTGTCATGGAGTCGACTCCAACTGATGGCGACCCCATGCGTTACAGAGTAGAACTGAGCTCCATAAGGTTTTCAGTGCCTGATTATTATAGATGGCCAGGCCTTTCTTTCGAGTTGCCTCTGGGTGGACTCGAACCTCCAACTGTCTGCAGCACCCAGGGACTCCTGGTGTGGAAATAACATTCATTAATTATTGAAGTACTTACTGAGCACATAGTATGTGCCAGGCATGATGTCTGCCTTTGCAAGCCTTGTCCCATCTCATCCTCACAATGCCCTGATGAAGAATGGGCTCAGTTTAATTCTGCCTGGGAAGTTGACATGATGCCCGCTGCAGTGGTAGCTTAGGGAGAAAGTGGCAGTAGCCAGTTACCGAACCTCTCTGAGCCTCAGTTCGTCGCCTGTGAAGTGAGGCTCATAATAGTAATGTGTTGTTTTGAGACAGAACATGAAGAATGGCCGGTGGGGCACCCAACCCAAAGAATGACTCAACCAATGAAAGACAGTCTTCAAAAGAATAAGGCCCTGAAGTTTATAACTTACTTTCTAAAATTCAAGTAAAACTTATTAGTGGTGACCAAGGGCTGGGGAGAGGGAGGAGTTATTGCTGAAGGGATACAGAGTTTCTGTTTGGGGTGATGAAGAAACTTTTGGCAATAGTGGTGATGGCTGCCCAACAGGGTGAATGTAATTCAAGTCACTGAATTGTACACTTGAAAATGGTTAAAGGGCAAATTTTTCATTATATATATTTTACCACCAGAAAATTAAAACAAATAAATCATAAAAAATAAATGAATAAATAACTGAGAGCAGATTCAAGGTTATGTCTGTGATAGGTCAGTTCCACACATTTGCATTCCACTAAACCTATGCAAGGAGGCCAAAGTGGAACATCACCTTCAGCCGGCCTTATCTGAGCTTTAGGGCACCCACGGGAATGTGTTCCTGATATACGTGTCACGAGAGAAAAAGAACAAGGATCCGGTGGTCTGAGCTGACCCCCAACCTTGTCACCAAGCAGGAGTTTCTACTCAAATGGAAACTGCACAAAGGCCTTTGTTATAATCACTGCTATTTCTTGAGCCTTCAGTGTGGGCCAGATGCTGGGGTTAGAATTACTCATGTGCTCAGCACGGTCCATATCCCTGGAAGTGCTTTACAGGGATTAACTCATTAATCCCCACAACCACCTTATAGGCAGGTGCTGTCTTATAAAGAGCACTGGACTGAGTCAGGAGACCTGGACCTGGTACACGCTTACCTAAGTTGTCGGTCTCTGGGCCTCAGTGATTTCATCTGTAAAATGGGAGCTTGGGCTAGGTGATTCCAATGCTCCTTCCAAGTTCGGACATCCTGGCATCCTCTGATTTTGTGATCAAAAAAAAAAAAAATGTTGCCATTGAGTCAATTCCAACTCATAGCGATCCTATGACACAGGCTAGAACAGCCCCATAGGGTTTCCAAGGAGTGGCAGATGGATTCGAACTACCCACCTTTTGGTTAGCAGCCAATCTTTTGGTTAGCAACCAAACGCTTAAGCACTGTGCCACCAGGGCTCCCCATCTTGTGATGGTAAAATGAAATCTGACATACTGAGTACCTGGTAGTGACTAGATTATCCCAAGCTAAAGTCGGCCCAGCTATGGCGGTGTGGGTTCAAAGAGGGCTAGACCCTCAGCTGCTCACCAACAGTGAGTTCTCACACAAGTCACCTTCCATTCGGGGGCATCCCAGAGTTGCCTTCATTTTCAGTCTGGTTTCATGGCCTGAGGAGTCATCTGATGGGAAACTCCACAGGGTAAGCAGAGAGCTTATCACATTGACAGTTAACCTGCCCTAGGAATTTCTGTGGCTAAAAAAGTTATAAGCAGAGGATTATGCCGGAGGGACATCAGATAGCAGCCAGAGTATGCTTGAGCTGAGTGAGAATTTCTGGGAACTCACATCAGACCCTTTTTCGTTCATTCAAAATTCATTTTACAGCCACCGGAGGCTGTAAACAGGCTCATAGAGTAATGATCTCACCCTACGGATGTCCTCTCCTCTGGGACACTGTCCCCAATACTAACTGACCCACTGTGTACACATGTAAGGCCACCAGGACATGAGGCGGTCTTCACCTCTGCAAGGACAAATTCCAGGAAGGACTTCCTCCTCCAGGCTGATGCAGCGCTGCAGGGGGCTGGCTCGGGAGTTGAGCACTGGCTGCATTTCAGTGCTACTTGCCCCTTCAGCTAAGCACCTTGTGCAGTGCACAACAGGAACGACCCTAAGCAGCTGCCCTGTGCATGCCCCTGGGGTAACAGGGATCACGCTCTGTCATCCATACACATAATCCTCTGCTTTGATTTATACTCTGTCCTGAAAACATGTCTAAAGCAGCGTATGCACAAGTCAACCAACCATCCTACGTTCTTTAGAGATTCACATTCCCAGGGAGCTGACATTGCTTTAACAGCCCGCTGTGCGGCGCTGTCGAGTCGATTCCGACTCATAGCGACCCCATGTGACAGAGTAGAACTGCCCCATAGGGTTTCCTAGGCTGTAATCTTTATGGGAGGAGATCGTCAGATCTTTCTCCATGGAGTCGCTGGGTAAGTTCAAACCACCTACCTTTCAGTTAGCAGCCAAACACTTAACCGTTGCACTACCAGGCTTCCTTAAAAATCCTTCTAGTCTAATTGTTCCCCCTTCTCTATTAAATACGTAGTTGCCCAGCTTGAGTTCAGGAAGTGTCCATTGAAGTTAAATATTTGCTGACTGAACACAGAACAGCTATGATGGAAATGTGGTAGGTCTCCTGGGCTCTTAACACCTTGCCTTTCCCTCCCATCACTGTGCTTGAGGCGCATCTATAGGACCCGTAGGACTGCAACAAAGTATTCAAACTGCTCAAATGCCAAGGCAGAGAAGGAAGGTGGAGACACTGCAGGAAAAACACTGCTGGTTAGCAGGCGGTGCCACTATGCAGTTGCCAAACGTATTCATACATCCTGCAGTGTGCGCACGAAGGTTCCGAGTCAGCCTCCTAAAGGTGTGTTTGGAATGCTGGTGTGTCGTCAAGTACGGGTTACTTAAAACTCGATTTTTAAGTCAAAACTGCAGCACTTGCCAAACATCTCCCTTCCCTGTTAGTCTGTCAACAGCTCACAGGCAAAGAATGGGTTTTATTCCCCTTGCATTCCTGGACCCCTCAGTGTGCCTGGCACCCATTAGGCTGCCATCAATGACCACGGAATGAAGGAATAAATACATGAGACCCGAGCTGTGTCCTCAATGACTCACTGCTAAGTGTCCATTTTACAGATGAATAAACGGAGTCTCAAAGCAGGAATGTGATCCCCTTAATGTCATACTTCCAGTTAATAGCAAGGAATCCTTGGGTGGTGCAAATGGTTGACATGCTCAGCTGTTAACTGAAAGGTTGGAAGTTCGAGTCCACCCAGAGGTGCCTTGGAAGAAAGGCCTGGTGGTCTATTTCTGAAAGAAATCAGCCACTGATAACCCTATGGAGCACAGTTCTACTCTGACACACATGGGATCACCATGAGTTGGAGTCGACTCAATGGCCAATGGAAACTGGTATTTGATGGCAAAGTGGGGACAGAAACAGTTCCAGCATGTCTTCCTTTTACCACTCTGCCTTGTGGGACAAAGGGCTCCCCCTGCGGGTTCTTACTACACGGGATCACAGAGAGCATCTCATCTCATTCCACTGACTTCTCTCCCAGGACGCTGTGCCAGTTGATGCCTCAGGCCCATCCTTTGCTCTCCAGCTATGATTGTGCTTCTCCTCCTAAGTGTGCTGATGGTCCCCTGTGTTGGTAAGTAAGGATATTTTACAGAGTATTTCCAGCTTAGCATATGATTGGCGAGTCAATAGCCCATCTAAAATGAACACTGGGACATATTGTCAAATTTAATCTGATTTGCTTATTTTCTCTTTTTCTCCCGTCTAATAATGATGGAAATGAAACATCAATGATAAGCTATAGGTTTAATTCAGTTGATATTTTGTGCACCACGTGTAGTACAGGAAAACGTGGGATGGGAGATGAGGTCTGGGGAAAGAGCAAGGCAGCTGGGCAGTAACCTCTCCATGTGATTACACATCTCCTGTCCCTTTGCTCATGAACTGCCGCCCTTGCTTACTGATCTCCTTGGAGCGTGTCAGCCTTCCTGACATACAGCCACATCCCTTCCCCTTTTGTAGGTGTGTCTGGTGGAAAGGGCACACATTTCCACCCCACACCTCTGAAACCTAGAGACACCTAAGCAAGCTCCTAGCCAGCCCAAGGTCATAATGTCAAGTTCACTTGGAGTCTTGGCTAGGAATCTGAGGCTTCTGGCACTTACCTGTCAGTACTATTAATTTATCTAGGCATTTTCTTGCTCCTTTCCCATGTTCAGGTCAGATAAACTCTGGACAAACACACTTACCCTCTCCTCTCTAATGTTCCCTTCCAAACAACGATGCCAGGCGAGGCAAAGTGAATCCACAATATGTAGTGCATTGTTTATCCTGACCATGACCCAAGTTAGTGGGCAGTATAATGGGTTTTCACATAACCTGAAAGTTTGCAAGGCGGAAATTACAGTATAAACCTATTACCTAAGAGTCAGGGCCTTCTCTTCATGGCCAAACCCCTTCCAAACACCATCTGAGACTTTCCTCCAAGGTAGAGAGGATCAGCCACTTGTTGCTGGGCCGCAATTGATTGCTTACTTCTTTGTGTATGTTTTTCTTCTTATTACAACATTATTGTCATGATTTGGGTCCCTATTGCTGGTGTCTCTGGGGCTTGTATGTGAGCAGCTCAACCTTTTCCAAGACCTCCACTCAACTTGATTAAATTCCCACTATGACCATGATCTGCCCCATTTTGGAGACATAGAAGTCAAATATTCTAGTTTTTTGTTTTTTTTTTTTTAGTTTCTTCCGTATTTTTTATTTAAATAGGATCTTATTTACCTAAATCTATTTTCCTAAATTTTTAAAACTTATTTCATTTCTCTAACTTTTTCTTCTTCCAAAACAGCACATCTTCCTTCCTGATCAATCCTGCCCATTCAACATCTCTCCCAATTTCCTCCATAACTGCCAGCTCTGCCACAGGGTCCCTTCCCGGCTCATCCCTGTCTTGCATCCCTTGACCTATGTTATACCTCTTTTAGGAGGTTCTTTGCCTCCACTCTTGTTACTTCTCCCTTACTGCCTCTCTAAAAATTTCTGTGGGTTGTTTTTTTTTTAGATATTTTCCCATACAAAAATTTACACATACATTATTTTGTGACTCTGATTGTTCTCCCCATACTGTGACAGCACACTCCTCTTTTCTTCCCCGATTCCCCATGTCCAGTCAACCAGCTCCTGACCCTCTCTGCCTTCCCATCTCACCTCCGGACAGAAGCTGCCTGTTTAGTCTCTTGTATCTACTTGAGCTGAGAGGCACACTCTTCACGAGTATCACTTTATGTCCCACAGTCCAGTCTAATTCCTGTCTGAAGAGTTGGCCTTGGGAATTGTTTTAGTTCTGGGCTGATAGAGAATCCAGGGGCCATGCTTTCTGGGGTTCCTGCAGTCTCAGACCATTGAATCTGGTCTTCTTACTAGAATTTGAGTTCTGCACCCCACCTTTCTCCTGGTCCATCAGGGACTCTCTGTTGTGTTCCCTGTCAGGGTGGTCATTGGTGGTAGCTGGACACCATCTAGTTTTTCTGGTCTCAGGCTGATGAAGTCTCTGGTTTATGTGGCCCTTTCTGTCTCTTGGGCTACTACTTTC